GGGGGACGCAGAAAATGTTTGGAAACCACTGTCTTAGGTTTCACAGTGCAGGTAAAGCATACAGAACTTTGGAGAGTCACTTTTGGAAAAGTCTGGAATTATTCTCCAAAAACCTGGGTAAACGTTTTATTTATAAACCCCTGTGACAATTTTTACCATGATAAATGTCCCAAAATGTGACTTAGACTTTTTTTTTTTACTTTATTTTATACATAAAAAAGGAAAAAAAAATATGCTACAGATATTAATATTGCTCCCATCCTTGCCCTCATGTACCTTCACAAAGAAACACAAATCCGCACATGTATGCAAACACTCCTAAAAGGTTTAACGGATACAATTTATGCCCTCCTTCAGAAAAAAGTTGATGTGGCATATTTGTTAAAATGTTTTAAACTGATGTCTGTATTAAAGTGTGTGTTGACTGAAGGACAAATATGCCTGTTTCATGTTGTTGGGTTTGAAACAAATATTTCAAGATGGAGAAAACCTTCACACCTCTTAAAATGTGTAAAAGGACTTAAAATAGTTTAACCCTTTTTATTACTAATGTTAAATCAGTCTAAACACTTTCTGTTTCAACTCAGGCATGGATGACCAGAATTATTTCTGTCGACAATGTTTTCTTGTGTGACATCATCAAAAAAAAAAATAGGAAGACACCATAAGATATCAGAAAGAGAAAATTAACCAAATTTGGTTAATTTTTGGATTCAGCTACTAAAAGCCTGAAGGATAGGGATACGGATCTTTCATCTACTCAAACAAGTTTATACAAATATATACAACATGGTAATGTTCAGCCATCATACAGTCCCACAGATGAACATGCTTTGGTTAAAAAAAAAGGTGTGAATCTGTCCACCTTTCGACCAATGACTGCTGGAGACCAGCCCCTCCGTGACCCTGCAAGGACAGAGACCGTAATTTTTGGAGAAATGCTTTTTTGTAATTATTATATAAATGTATTATTATTCATTTGATTTTTTTTCTAATTTTTGTCTTTAAATACAAAAATTTGCTCATGCTCATATTTTTTGTCTGTCTGATGACATTGTAAAATATTAAATCAGATGTTATCAGTTTTTTTACTTGATTTCTCTTTCTACAAAATACGTTTTTACTCTACTTGAGTAATTTCTTGGATGCTTACCTTTCACTCATACTCTTCCTACTTGAGTATAATTTTTGAGTTCTCTATTTCCGATTAGAACTTTCACATCTAAAATGAAAAGCGCCTTCGTCGACGATGATTCTGACAAACCTGGCAACCCTCTCCAGACGCTTTCTGATGACGTCAAACTTCCGCGACTCCTCGCATGTGACAAACAGGAATCGACCACTTTCCGTTCCAGAAGTGGCTTTTTTGTGTTCACCTGTGAAAGTTTGGACTATATTCCGTGCTTGAACCCAGCATGGCTTCTACATCAATGCCGCAGAAGCGCTACTACAGACAGCGAGCCCACGCAAACCCGATGGCGCACCACACGTTTGATTAGTGAGTGAAGTTGTCCCATTAGCCTCTACTCCCCACAACATTCAGTGAGATTTAACTGTGCAGTACCACATGTGCTTTTTTCTTTTCCATTGCGACTGAGCACAGAGGACTGTGAGACTCTTCTGTGGAACTACTGTTGTTTACAGACAATTAGGGGGTTAAAGATGCATAAAATGACCAAATCTCCTGTAATTGGCAGACTGGCTCTTCAACTTGTCAGATAGTATTGTATCAAAAATAAAATGGAAATAATACATTCAGAATTACGGTGTAATTCCTGAAACTAATACTTTGTTTATTTAACCCCAGCATTTATTCTTCGTGGGTAGCTAATTTCTTATTATTTCGGTGTCTGGCGATTCAATTCCGATTTTTAGGGTCACAATTCGATGCAGAAACGATTTTAAATTCAGAAACCAATTTTTCTGTTCAAAGGGTCAAGAGATTCTGTTTAAATTAGGTGACTGACAAGAAGAAAAGACAATGTAAATAAATAGTATATGTATTTCAAACAATTATATAAGGTTCCTTACTTTCCGATTTCATCAGTTTATATTCAAACAAAAATAGATTTGTACATAAAATTCTGTAACTTAAATTACCAGTATTAGGTTAGTTTAAATATCTGGCTTTTTCTTAACTAAAATAAAAATATTTTGAATGCATATGTTGGGCGAAACCGTCTTCTACTGTGGCCGAATGGTTCGATAGAAGCAGTAAAGACGTACAACTTAAAGGTGTTTTAAAATCAAAATTTTAGCATTTTGATTTATTTTGATGTAAGTTACATTTAAGAGCAAATAAGTTTTAAGATAATTTTTTGTAGCCTTTATTTTTTTACATTTTAATTAAGTTGTGTAGACTTTGAAATGCACATTTTTTATATTCTCTAATTAATATTTTGTAATTTATTGACATACGGTGCACATTCCCAATTCCTCTGAAGCAACAAGAAGGGTCTTTTGTCTTTTTTAGCTCCTGTCTGTTTATAGATTAGATGTACTTAGTGCTAGGCTAGAGTCAGCGTAAAGTCCTGACTGAATGAAAATTATTATAACCTATTTATGTCACGTTAACGAAGAACACCTGAAAACCTTCTGGGTTGCAGGAGCAATTTGGCTCCAGTTCCTCCCCTTGTCATTTCTATATTCTTTGCACGAAATGTTGAATAAATATTAATGTTGTTTCCACATATCATCTCCAATGTCCGCTGGACTTTGGGTTGCGCCGTGTCAGCTGTTTGGGATTCCCCTCCGTAATTTCCCCTCAGAAAGCCCGAAGGAGAATCCGGGGTTTCTGATTGGCTACCTGTCACATTCAGCTTTAAGCTCCCGGTCGGGGAAAACCCCTGATTTAGATCGGAGCGGCCATGACGATCCACCGTAATCCACCACACTGCAGGATGATCGGTTACGAAATCACCAGCGACAATCTTAGATCAGCCAAAGATCTAAGATTGTCGTAAGAGGAAAAGGGGGGCAAAAAATCGTGTAGTATGAACTACACGATTTTTTTTTATTGCATTAGGTAGTCGGATATGCCCATCTTCTCTATTTAAATCTCGTGATTACTGAAGGGCAATCTAGTATACAGACTTCATGTCTGCACTCTTTTGGTTGAATGCAGTATTTATTTCCACTTTGGCTTTATGTTGTTTACTTTTTATTCAAGTACGTTTTTTTGTTAATGGAGACTGAGAATCCATTTTATTTTTGTTTTTGGTTGTTTATTTAGTTCATCAGTTCCAGTGTTATGTGTTCTTTTGAAAATAAACTGTATCTATCTATGGCAGGAAATCACATGCATTATTAGTCATTTCCATTAAATCAGTGTCAAAAGGTCTTGAAACAATATTATCGTTTATCGCAATAATTTTTTAGACAGTTAGTCGCTCAGCAAAATTTGTTATTATGACAGGCCTCCTTAGTGGTTACTTCATCACACAGTTCCCCAGCCGTTAGGACAATTCAATGCTCCTGATTAACTTTACATAATTTTTGGACTTGCTCCCTAGTATTGAATATTGGTCATTGTCAGAGATAGTGAAGAGAAGAGGACCTGCGATGTGTCTCATTTTCAGCTTTGCGCTGCAGTTTGAAGTTCTGAAGTCACCCGACTTTGGGAAATGACTTTTAATAAAACCCATAATGTTAGTTTGGATAAATAATTGTGATCTTATTAGGATTTTCTGTAGCTGACCATGTTGTCCTCCTCTCCAGCCCGGTGTGTCCTGAAGAAATGGACTGGTCCAAGCTGTATCCCGACCTCATACCTGGGCCCTCGTCGGAGACGGAGGGCCCTAAAGTCGAGTTTGCAGACATTGGCTGTGGATACGGGGGTCTTCTGGGTAAATAGGTCGCTGACCTGAAGGCCGGCGCTTTTCTCTGCTATAAAATAGTTCTGTATTGTGTTTCTGTCTTCATCCTTTCTTCTTCTCCTCTTGCCAGTGGAGTTATCGCCACTGTTCCCAGATAAGCTCATGTTGGGCTTGGAGATCAGAGTGAAAGTATCGGATTATGTGCAGGACCGCATTCGGTCGCTGCGTGAAATGAACCCGGGAAGCTACCAGAACATCGCGTGCCTCCGCAGCAACGCAATGAAGTACCTCCCCAACTTCTTCTTCAAAGGACAGGTAGATTAACCTCTATGGGTTTATTGTTGGATTTTCTAAATCAGAAACAAAAAAGTGAGGCAAAGGGGAAAAAAAAGAGGCAAAGACTAGTTATTTTAACACAGTTTGTATGTATTTATTTATTTTTCACACGTTTAAGGTTTGTGTCGGTTTTCAAAATTCTTTGTTTCTTTGTCAGTGGATTGATGAATCGTTAGGCTCTTCAACCAGTCAGATATTATTGGTTTACTTCTCACACACAGTTAGGTCAGAATCAGTAGCCTTGTTTCTCTCAGTCTTATCCAGACCTTGTTTGATCCATTTTCGATATTTATATTTAAGCTAGAAAAATACTTTACATGCGTTTCTAAAAAACAGCAGATTTCAAAACCAGTTGTAAGGTAAATGTGTCACATTTTAATCCATGAAATCCCAGCAGTCACCATGAGATGATCAGGTTAGGAAGTTCAGGAAGAGAACTGCTGTTGATAACAGTAACACAGTTTACTGGTAAATTTACATTGTAAAACTATTTAAAAAACAATAATTAAAACTCACAAGACAAGTTCACAAGAACAACAAGAGATTTTGCTTTGAAAAAAGTTTTAAACGCAAACGGTCCTTTTTTCTGCAAGATTTTGCCCCAAACTGGATTCTTTTCCTTTCTTTTATCTCTTCAAACCATCAACTATTGATGGTCTGCAGGACAACATTTCCAATTTCCCACCGTAAACGTAAAAAAAAATGAGCATTTTTCTGTAAAGAAAACACACTGATCCCCATTTTAGCTGTTCAGCTCACTGATTATGGCACCGACTAAAGCCCAGGCCATGTGTTTCATAAAAAGGCGCTTCGTTTATCTTTAACAGATGGAGTTGATGAAATTATGCAGATTATTTAATACATCCAGGAATTTTAAAGCGATGGGTTCACTGACTGGGGAAGGACGACGTGTCGGCTCGGTGCAGAGGCTGCTCACGTTAAATACTGTAATCTAGGACTTGTTTGAACTCGCTTTAGATTACACCGTGTGCTTTGTGTGGGAGGGGGGATAAATTAGCTAACATAGATAAAACAACTTTTCACCTTAAATGCCCCCTGACTGGGAATAAACTTGGAAATGAGCGCGTGTACAGAAGAGCTGTAAAAGTGTCACGTTTGTGTAATTCACATCACAAAGGTGTTTCATATAAAAGTGCACACAAGGAATCAATCTGCTGTGACTTTGCCATGCTGTTCAGGTTAAATCAGAACGATGTGAGCTTTAATTATGCTTCCAGACAGGAGACGCTGTGCCAAACCCAGATTTGAAGCGCTTTAAATGAATTCACATGAACTGAAAGGAAAGGGAGAGAGACTGGTTTTACTTTAGGTGAAGACAAGCTGTGTGAAAGTATTCATAACCCTTGACCTCTTTTCACATTTTTTTTTTATCTCTCTCTCATTGGGAATTTATTCGTTAGACCTTAGTAAAAGACTCGCCAACTGGCACAAAAACGGATGAAATGATTTAGGAAAAATACAACAAAAACTCTGAGAAATATGCAGTTCATTTGTATTCCATCCCCTTTTCATGCCATACTTGGTGGTGGCAGCATGATGCTGTGGGAATGCTTTGTTTCAACTGGAGCAGCAAAAGTTTTATAGTTTATTGGAAGATAGATGGAAACCAACTAAGGCTGGATAATAAATCAATAACAATATGTGTCACAATAGACACATTATCAGTATCAATAGCAAATACATCTGATTCCAGGGGTGTCCAATCTGTGGCCCGGGGGCCATTTGTGGCCCTTGGTCTGATTTTGTGTGACCCCCAACTGCAATCCAACAATGATACAAATTTGTCCTGCAGATGAAGACTTTTAATTTGTAGCCAGGGTAGTAAAAAAAATGTTACCAACATAAACAGGAAAATATAAAGTACAACACAAAGTATTTGTGTTTTTATAACCAAGTTTTAACAAGAGGTAAAACCAAGAGACTTTTACTGAAAGGGCAACTTTGCTGCACCCAAATCAGCTTTTATTCTCTCTCAAAAGTGGCTAAATATAGCAAACGTTTTGAAAGAAAATGACCCAAATCCTAAATAACCAAAGTCTGAGATTCTGCAGATGTTGGTGCCGTTTTGTATCGACTTTGGGAATGACGTGAGTTAATGTTGAAACTACTTTTCAGACTACTGAGTGTTGTATTGCCGCTAGCGAGCTGCATGACAGAAGGCTTCAAACAGAAGATATGCATGATGTGAGCCTCCATTTGCATCTGATTTTGCTTCATCCTTTTCTTTTTGATGCCATACATTTCATACAGGGTCTTGCTGCTTTTCAGCCTCCATTCTTAAAGCAAGTAAAAGTGCGTCCAGGAAAACAGAAACAGCCTAATTACAGTTCGGATCTCACCTATTTCTGCCCAAATCACTGTGATGCCTATTCCCTTTGGATTAGCATTTTCACGTGACTTCGTAGTTCAGCACCATGTAATTGGTAATTTGAGAGGAAAGTTTTACTTCACAAATTACTGACATGGCCGATTCACACCGGATTAACAACACTGACGATTATTACAAACAACTTGTGGTTACTAGGTAAAACTAATCGCATCAGAAAAGGGCTTCAGATGACTAAACAGTTTGGAAAATCCCAGACGATGATGTCACGGCTTCGTAAGCTTCACAACATTTGCATTAATCGGGGAACATCTGTGGATGTGCTTTAAAGTAACACCTCAAACACGCTGCTGCCTTGTGCCACAGCATCGCGACATTAAAACAGAAAAGATACAAGGCAGAGGACTGTGGGCCTTCACTAAGTACGGGGGTGGCAGCATCATGTTGTGGGATGTTTTGCTCTTCATGAAATATTTTGCATCATGAGGGAAGAATATCATCTAAACATTGAAGCAACATCTAACGGCATCAGCCAGGAAGGAAAAGCTCAGGCCTGATTACATAGAACCGAATCGGTTCAAAGCAGCTTGAGGACAACAGCGTCAATGTTTTGGCGTGTTTGATTTAATGCAAAGAAAAATGTTCTGTTTTTTAGTAGTTTTTATAAATTTGTGGTTCCTACTATACGTGTTCATGCCACACTTCAAATATTGATACGTCAAGCATTCTCTACTTTTACACAAATCTTGTTTTTGTTTGGTTTTTTTGTTGGTTCATCCCATAAAATCTCAAGAACTTACTTTGACATTTGTGGTTATAACATGTAGGCCTGTCACAATAACAAATTGTCCCAGACGTTCTTGCAATAAATGATAATATTTGAGACTGTTTTCAAATAATATATTGATATTGGCAGAGCAATGTTGCCTCGCTCTCTCAAAGACTAATACACTTTCATTTTATGCTGAGCACTGGAATATATTATAAAAATCCAAAAAAATAAAATAAAATAAAATAAATAAAACGCAACTGAAACTAATAAATAAAAAGGAAATAAAAAACCAAAGCCATAAATAAAATGGATTAAGAACAAAAGTATTATTAAGTAATTGCTTAATAACATTGCTAAGTCTGGCCAGGTTCACAGGTTATAAATATATCAGTTCGGGAATCGTTGGTTAAGTCGTGTAAACAACGGCTGCGTCTTTTCTCGTTAGTTTTCTGTACAGCTCATAATTAGCATAAACAAGAACTAAGAGAGGACCACCCAGATCAGATGTTGGGCATGCAGTGCCTCTCTCTCTCTGTCTGTCTCTCTCTCTCTCTCTCTCTCTCTCTCTGTGTGTCTCTCTCTCTCTCCCTCTCTCTGTCTGTCTCTTTGTCTGTCTCTCTCTCTGTCTGTCTCTCTCTCTCTGTCTCTCTGTCTCTCCTTCTCTGTCTCTCTCCCTCCCTCTCCCTCTCTCTCTCCCTCTCCCTCTCTCTCTCTCTCCCTCTCTCTCTGTCTCTCTCTCTCTGTCTGTCTCTCTCTCTCCCTCTCCCTCTCTCTCTCCCTCTCTCTCTGTCTCTCTCTCTCTCAGCAGCTCGGAGCCCCTGAGGCTGCTGCTGTTCCCGGTGATTATCCCCACATCTTTCTGTCTGTACTAGATGTTATTTATCTTAACTAATAAAAAGTGATTGGAGTTCTCTTTTTCTTTAATATATCAGCCAGACTAATATCAGTGGTGCCTGCACTTGAGCGACTGTCAAAGACAAACGTGGGGAAGTTTGAGGTAGAAAAAAAAACACGTCCAGGAGGGAAATTCCAGTCTTGCAAAGTTTAAACTCTGACTGCAGAATATTATGAAATGTTCAACAGAGAACTCAGAAGATTTTCTGGCCCATCTGTTTCATTCTTCACTTTAAACGTAAACTTTAAATGAAGGCAGTAAAAACACTGTATTTCTAAATATCAATGAACTGTCGACGGAAATTTCCCAAATTCTTCGTTTGGCCAACACAATTGATTTGTTTTCTCTGTTTGCTCGACTAATTGTTCCCACTGTTTGTCTTGCAGCTCAGTAAGATGTTCTTCCTGTTCCCTGACCCTCATTTCAAGAAGACCAAGCACAAATGGAGGATCGTCAGTCCCACGTTGTTAGCAGAATACGCCTACACACTCAGGATCGGGGTATGTTTGAGAGCCACTCGTGTGCAGAGTAACAAAAACGTTAAGAAATGACCGTTGAAACCATTTTGCGTTTTAATGCACGTTGAATTGTCCACTGAGTTCAGCTTTACGACTGCATCTGAATAAATCAGAATATCATCAAATATTGATTTTATTTCATTGATTTAGTCATTTACATCTTCCACAAGGAGGGCAGGCTTAAAAGAGTACATTTTCTGAAGAAGCTGGTTGTTAGCAATAGTGAAGGAAAGTTGAGTGGAAGGAAAAATTGTGGCAGTAGAATGCTCATTAGCAGCACTGATACAGAGGATTGTGAAGTAAAGTCTATTCAGGACTTTGATTTTTCTCCCTTCTGTCTGCCTCGTCTGTCATCATAATGTTTGAAACTCTTTGCGTCTCCTGGACTGATTTTATGCTCCAGATGACTGTAATTCATGAATGATGCGAGTGATGGAGACTTTTCCATGAAAAAGTATTTTACTTACAGTGGAAAGTGCAATAAACACACTTTTATTTTCTCTTGAATTTCATATTAAATAGCACAACGTCGATCCTGTGACTTTTACATGAAAGCAAACGTAATTAAAAAGATTTACTTTTAATTAAAGTATTAAATGTGGCTAAAAACAAAGAAAATCCTTTTTTATTACTGAGGAAAGATTTTTTTTTTCTCTAGTCAATCCTAAAATAATTTGCAAACTTATTTGCCTTTCTCTTAATGAAGAAAACATACAAAACCCAGTGTAGGTTTTGGTTCTGCAGTGATTTACACATTACTATTCTACAAAATGTTTGACGACTTTAATTGTAATCTTGCTTGATCAGTTTATTACTGAGTAAGTAAAAAAAAAAATTATAATTTAGTTTTTATAATGTTAGTTTAGATATTTTTTGCCGGTGCTGTGAACTTGAAGATTTTGTCTCACGTGAGATATAAAGGTATTAAGATGAAGGTATTTATATAGATATAAAGGTGTAGGCCATTATATCTCTATAAAATGAAATCATGTTTATATTTTTATGTGATTAAAAAAAAAAGCTATGCTCAGCTGTAGTTAATCTATGTAAAACTTTAGTTGAATTACTGAAATAAATTCCCTTTTTGATGCTCCGATTTACACACAAGCTTATTTTTATCTTCATTTTAAACCTGCTGCAGCAGCGGAAAGCTTTTTCCTCCCCTCTCTGTCATTTTATCAGCAGTTTGTGTTCAGCAGAAATCAGTGAATTCAGTGAAATTAGTTTGAGCAAGCGGCCGGCCAGGTGACGCCCCCACCCACCCGGCCGGTCGGAGCCGCCCCTGCTGCTCTGGGACATTTGAGCAGAGCAGCGCCGCTGATGGAGGGTTCAGAGAACAAAGGGAGGCTTGTGTCTAAATTTGACTTTATTGTTTTTCCTCCACTGACGGATTGGTGCGTGCGTGCGTGCGTGTGTGCGTGCGTGCGTGCGTGCGTGCGTGCGTGCGTGCGTGCGTGCGTGCGTGCGTGTGTGTCGACAGGCCTTCGGCGTTGGCGCGTTGCCACGCATTCGCCGCTGGGTGGGAAGGCTGTCAGGAACCTGCCTATTTATAGAGCTGCTCTCACAGCGTGTCATTTAGTCATCACTTTGGGTTGGATTTAAAATATGCTCAGACGACACCCTAAACAGTACACAGTAGTGATTGAGCTACGGAGATTGATGTGGTTGCACTGCTGATAACGCCATCTCTCATCATCGCTCTGCCCCGTTAAAAAACCCCCACAAAAAAAACGAAGTTTTACGTGCTGAAATGCACAAATGTGGAAATTTGTTCCACTGCTGAGCTTCCTAAGAAATCCATTTTCTGGTAACTTTATCTTCCCAGCCTCCAACGCAAACTGTACCGACACAGGTGATTCACCTCTGTACTGTCTGTTTGCTATTTTTATCTCTTTTTTTTTTTTTACATAAATTACCCTGTAAGGGTGGTGAAAGCATCAACTTTGAGCCCAAACACTGAACTTTTCAGAAAAAAAAGAGCAAATTTTATTATCAGGGGAAACGTTTATCTGGATGATAACTGGATGTGTGTTCGAACAACAGTAAAAGTTTGTTCGCCTGTTTTTTTCCCAGAAGTGTCCTAATGACCTTCATGTGAATATTTTTTTTTTTCTTCTTTCCTGGTTGCTTCAGGGCTTGGTGTACACCATAACAGATGTGGAGGAGGTGCACCTCTGGATGGTGAAGCACTTCAGCGAACATCCGCTGTTTGCACGTGTGCCAGAAGAGGATCTGGTATGTCCACACGCAGCTTTTAACCCCGAGTTCCTGGAAAAAAAACCGTCAAATTTAAGGATGTGAAATTTAGTGTTTTCACACTTAGCTTAAGTTGCTTTTATGTCAAGCATTAAAAAAGTTATTCTCTACTATACAAGTAGTATTTATCCTGAAACGTCACTGTTTTAAGATTTTGCATAATTTTAAGGTGATTTTTATGTTTTTTTTTATTATTTTTATCAACAAAAAACTGAGATGTTTACATTCAGCTCCCCTCAATCTACACTTAGAAACATCTACCAGCTTTGTACATCTAAACATGAGAATCCTTCTGATTGGCTGCGTTTTTCATCCGAAACGTTTTATTTCTTGCTTCATCAGAGTCAATGAAATTCGAGCAAGGTTTTATCAGACTTTATTGTCCGAACAGGATCAACACTTCCTGTTTCTGGGCCTTAGTTCTCCCCCTGAACCTTGAGTTGAAAACCTCAGACGGAGAGAGATCGCTGTCGCATCCGATCTCATTGATTTAATACACCTGACTTTTATTTTGAAATTAACTACACAGTCCCAGTTCCGGTGAAGTGGCTGCTAAAGTGTCCGCAACTTTTAAACTTCTCAGTGTTTTTCCCCACTACAACCAAAAAACTCTCATTTTTTTTTAGCTAATACAAATCTGAAAAGTGTTTCTTTTTTTGAGTCCCTACTTCTCTGATACCCCTAAATACAATTCAGATCCTTTGTGGGTCACCTGGTTAGTAAATACAGTCCATTTGCGTTCACTTCAGTTCCCTGAACACCTCAGAGGTTCGCTTGACCCGACGGGTCAGGCAGAGGCTTTAAAGCAGGATTAGGTTGTAAAACATATAAGATGATTGTTGAAAGAAAGCAAAAAGAAGATTTGAGACTCGAGTGGAGGTTCATCTTCCAGCAGGAGAAAAGCTCTAAACATGCAGCCAGAGCTGCAATCAAACCATATCCACATGTCGATGTGGCCTAGTCAAAGTCCAGACCTAAATTCATTTGGAAGTCTGTGGCCCGATTTGAAGTGTAATGTTCAGAGATGTTCTTTGTCCTGACTGAGATTACAGGATTATGCAAAGGAGACGGGAGAAAAGGTTTATGTGTGTAAATCTGCTGGAGACACTTTCAGCTGTTCTCAGTCAGAAAGGATGAAACATGCACACCTTTCAGAATATTATTCAAAAAACACTTAAAAACCATGTTTTTAACGATTTTTAAATGAGCTTCATTGTGTTGGTCTACCACATAAATCCCAAATAAAACACTGAAGTTTGTGATTGTAGCGAAAGGAAACATGGGAAAGTTTAGCAGCTGTGAATCTGACTGTGTTTTAGCTGCTGCTGCTTTTCATATCTTCAACAATAAACGGATACATTAGATNGGTCTTGAAACAATATTATCGTTTATCGCAATAATTTTTTAGACAATTAATCGCTCGGCAAAATTTGTTATCGTGACAGACTTACTGAACAGTTCCTTTTCTTATTTGCATGATTTGAACATACGTCGTCCTCTTGGTTAAATCTCAATTCACTCAACGTTGTCTAACGCACATTAAAAGGTCAGCGCCTTACTATTGAACACTGCTGTGGCAGCTTATTTTTTCCCAGTGAAACATACAAAATTTTCAACAGAGGCAACGTCGCCCATTTAAAAAAAAATTATGTGTTTCTCCATTAATTTCCTGTCATCAGCCACATCCCAAAAATGAAAATTGTAGCCTAGTCAAAGTCCAGACTAAATCAAAGTGAGATGTTGTAGCAGCACCTCAAAAATGTCATTCAGGCTTGAAATCCTTCGGTGTGGCTAAATTTACACAATTCAACAAGGAAGAGTGGCCCTAAATTCTTCCACATTGGGGCTGGGTTGTTTAGCCCTTTTAAATTTGTAAGGTGGCAAATGCTTTTTGTCCCAAATGATGTATAATTACAACACCAGTGTATGGAAAAAAAAGGCAGGTTTGTGTGTGCTAGAAAAACCTGAAAAAAAAAAAAATTATAATAACATGATGAGTTTTAATCAGAAGGGGTTCTATTGTCTGTTTACTTCAAAGTATCCTAAGTAACACATACAAATGTGAGTTTCAATGAGGGGGGTGGAAAAAAAAGTACAGTCATCATCATTATTGTTGAAAATGTAGAAATCCTCCAGTATTCATAGCACATAACAAAACCGACATGAGTAAGTGAAAACAGGGAACATCTGTAAAACATTTGAACGTTTCGAAAGACTCCTGTTTACATTTCAGTTTCTACATGGACACATTTAATAGAAGGCACACCCTAGTCAAATGTGACCTCTCATCTACCGCTCCGTCTCTTGTTAGTATTTTTCTTTCTCTTTTCTGCATCCTAAGCGGGTTAGTCTTTGAAAGAGAACAATCACGGGGAAGGGGTGCTCTCTTTCTCTCACAAACACAATGCTAGCTATAAAAAGGGCACAGTACGTGTTCCTATATTTGTTTATGTAATATGTATTTTACATTGTCCATGATTATCATAGATAACAACAAACTGCACTGTCATATTACAGTCATCTGATTGCTGTTGCATAAAGCTGCAAAGCGATAATAAGATCCCCGTTGGAGGTGTGCTAATCTACGGGTTTCAGCCGCTGGAGGTCGATTGTTGAGTCCAGCCCACTTCCTCGTAGACGGCTTTGATGCCAGAGCAGACAGTAGCTAGGAGCTTGGTCCATGCTGCGCCCACCTCTGGCGTCACAACCTCTGGATACTCTTCTCCCAGGACTTCCAGAATCACACCGCTCAGGATCTTAAAAAGACACAAGCAAGTAATTTACATCAAAGTGGCACTTGGAGTTTGATATTTTGGGATTCTTTTGAAACATCATTAATAACGCAGCTGTTGTTATTGATTTTGCTCCCAGAATATTGAAGTCAAAGGAAGCCAGTCATGCCGTTCACCAATTTCTTATTTTAAATGGGAAACCCACTCACTCTGTGATTATTTTGCACGCATGCAGAGATTTTTTAGCTCTGCACTGGCTTATTAGCTAGTGATGCTAATAACCCAGTGAAATAACCCAGTTACTTCACTGGGTTTATTGGCAAAGTCAGGTTTATTTGCAAAGAACATTTCTGCAACAAGTTAGTTGAAGTGCTTTACACATAACACAACTAAGAACTAAAACAAACAAAAAAGACACATAACAGTGGCAGAATAAAGTAAAGTAATTTAAAAAAAAGAAATGAAAAGTTGTAATCCAGACCAGAATTGATCTATTTTCCAACTATTTTATATACAACAAATATATGATAAAATCAATGTTTTGAAGTGAGCATCACTAAACCTTCATCTCAGTCCAATGAGATCAAGTCTACTGATTCTGGGATTTAGCATATAGTAATATTATCCAACATAAAACCAAAAATGTTTAGTCTAATTTAAAAACAAACAGTGAAAATAAAGGGAACCCCCATTGCATGTAAATAAATGCCTGGTGTAAACTTTATTTCCTCTCTACCCAGACGTTTCAGCCTTAGCTGAATCAAATATTTCTCGATTGCAATTCTTACTTCACCTCAGGTGACTGTATGTATACTTTCTTTACATTTTGATCCGTTTGTTTCACATGCCTGCCGTTTGTCTTGATTTGATTCATGCACTCTTTACCTTGAAGTACACTGGATCCACCTTGTGTTTGAGGGCGTGGGCTTTGCCAACCAGCTTCAGCACCGAGGCCACCTTTTCTGAGTCGTCGATATTCTCCACCAACGTGTTAAGGGCGTTCATGACTCTCTGGGCATGTTTTCTGAGCTGGGAACTATGCTCCAGCTCCTCCGTGTCCTCGATGTGCTTGAACTGGCTGAAGTATAGCTTGGATGAAGGGAAGTTCACAAACAGTCTGTGAGGGAGAAGAACATTAGAGATAAATTTTAGACATTGTCCAAAGCCTTAACTTGCTAAAGGAAGACTTGGCAGAGGGATAGATGCTGTCACATTACTCATGTTTTTGCCATGTAAAAAACATCATGCAGGTCCAAACATAAAAAAGCAGAGTACATTATGTGAAACGTGAAGTCTTGACAAGTCTCTGCATGCGTTGCTCATGATGTGGTCCTTTTCTTGTATAGTACGTGTGCACTCATTACATTTTGTCCAAAACAATAAGAAAACAATCTAAGATAGGTCTCAAAAGGCTAGGTGTGCAGAAAGATGTTGTTATGCCACTGAATTGGAAAGTGACAAAAAAATACAGTGATAGGGTTGTATGGTTCAGATTTTTACAAGCCAGAGATACACATTTTTTTTCTCAGAACTCTTCCATCCATCCTCCGTAGCCACCTTATCCTGTTCAGAAAACTTGAGGAAAAAAGACGGCAATTGGTGAGGGACGAGGTACAAATTCGACCGAGCGCTTTTCCGCCACAGGACCAACTCAGAGTAGCAATTTTTACAACCATTAAATCTATATGCACCATAGAGACTAAGAGGCCTTATTCTGGGGCTTGAGAGGAAACTGTAGAACCAAAGCAAATATCTATCACTCCTCAGACAAAGCGTGGAAACTGCCAAATGAATTGGACCGACAACTTTCTAGCTGTTAGGCAGTAGTACAAACCACAGCTAGATGTTCTGGTAGAAAGAGGGCAAAAGGGTAGACTTACAAACCTCATCTTGCTTTTTTGGAAGATTTCCCCTGTCAGGCTCGTCTGATTTATCAAACATTTATAACAGGTACAGTTACATGCAGCAATGATTACATTGTATATTTTTCCTCACTTTGTTTTTGGGGGGACAGGCGGTCTTCTCGTGTCAACATAATTCCCAAGTCTAGATTCTGTTCATTCGCACTTCGTGATTCAACTTGGGGCCCTTTCGGTAGAACAAATAGTCACTTTGATGTTTTCTTTAATTACATTCCCGCTTGACCCTCGGAGGTATCACAGTGAATTTTTGCACAGAGGAACCTAAAAGCTTCACCCCCTCACACAGTTCTGGGAAGGGGGCCAAAGCATCTGGTTGCTGGCTATCAAATCAAGATGTCCCATCTCCCCCTGGCTCTGCAACTGCTTACACAAAAAGGAAGCAAATATTTCTTTTCTGCGAGCTCTGACACATATGCTTACATATCGGGGTTTTACATGTGAAAAGGGAGGAAGTTGG